TAGTTAGCCTGTTACTGTTTCATGGACAAAAATAGAAGATATAAGATGCTGAGTCAAAAGACTTTATTATCCATAATATAGCAAACAGTTATGAGCATCATGTCAGTGACAGTTCACCTTCCTCTTTAAGTTCTCCTGACAGAGATGCATTGATGGACACTCTATACTAGGTGGGTTTCCATCACAGCTGAAGAACAATGAGCTTGGAAAAATTGTCATTTTTTTATAATAAACAGAAGAAGGTTTTTTATCTGCTCTTTTTTCTGAAGAGTTATTATATCATCTCTCAAAGGTGCTAACAACAAACATAGTAGCCAGGTCTGCATTCCTGACATACCCAATACAAACTTTTCAGGGATGCTTAGGGCTCAAGGAAGACTATCTCACCCAACACAATCCTATTCAATCTAACACCTGAGCAAAAAAATAATGTGTTACATTTCAAGAAGCAAACTACCTTTATTTACACACAACATTAATTATTTACATCAAAAAGATTGTAGAATTCTTTTTTTTTTTTTGTACCAGAGATTGAACTCAGAGTTCATATGACCACTGAGTCACATCTCTACCCCTATTTTATATTTTATAGAGATGGGGGGGGGCTCACTGAGTTGCTTAGTGCCTCACTTTTGCTGAGGCTGGCTTTGAACTCTCAATCCTCCTGTCTCAACCTCCTAGGCCATTGGGATTACAGGTGTACACCATCGCACCCTCTGGAATTCATTATTAAAAGTTTTTAGATTAATAAATGAATTTAGTAAAGTTGCCGGCTACAAGGTCAACATACGAAAACCAATTGAAATTATATTTACTAACAACAAACAATTGGATTTTTAAAGTTAGGTGTTATTTCAATAAAGAAATTAAGTAGAAACAAATCTAACAAAATATATGCAAGATGTATAGCAAAAGACCTAAATAACATGGATAAAAGAAATCAAATATATAACATTAAAAAAAGAGAGATTGTGTCCATAAGTTGAAAGACTCAATAATGTTGACAGTTTTCCCAAAATCCATCTGTAGCTAAATTCTGTAAAATCCCAATCAAAATAACGTGATTTTTTGTAGGTATCATGGCCCTAAAATGGAAACTAGAAGGTAGTAGTAACTGAAGATATATTGCTGAATATAACTAGCAGAAAGTCACCTGGGATGACATTCATTAGAGGTTAATAGTAAACTCTTAAAATACATTCATTCTCCCAAATGAATAAAAATGAATAACCAAGTTGTACAACGGATGTTACTGAATCCACAAGATTACAGTCAGCCATTCAATTGTGTCTCTCATCAAGCATAAGACTCAGCCCAGAAGAGGGGACTTGACATAGATTTGTTAAACATACAATCCAGCTCATAAATGATTTGGCCTCAAAACAAAGAAATTAAGAGTAGAAGAATTATGCAAAGAAAAGGAAACAACAGAAAAAAAACAGTGGGAGCAGGAGCACAAACATGGCTGTTTGTATAATTCTTTGATTAAAATAAAAGAGGAGAAACTTCAGCAAAATGCTTAATATTTAGAGGATGCAAAGACAGATAAAAAGCAGTCAAAACAGTAATCCATAAAATTGGGGGTGAAATAATAATTTGGACAAAGCCCCAGACATGCCAACAGTAATATAACAGAGGGAGGATAGACTATAATAATAGTCACAGTATCCAAAATCTAGGTTCAAATGAAAAAACAGAAAGAAATGCCAGATATTTATTTTTGTAATGTACGCCATGCTAGCAAAAGACACAACTACAAATAAATATTGCAAAAAATAAAAATTAAAAATTTTAATTGTTCCACTTAGTTGGGGTAAGGAAGAAGAGGAAAGAAAAGCTTGTGGCATTTTCTATCTCCTAAAAATGTTCAATTCTGATGCATGCACTTTATCCAATTTGATTAGTTTTCAATTATTCTCTTATAGATAATGAATCATCACTGTTATTGACTCTCTACTACCTTGGCTTTGCCCCACTTGAAGAAGGTTTCAGCAGATGGTCCATTTCTATCTTTCTGATAAAACATTTATTGTGAAAGAAATTTAAAGTTGAGAAGCCACATGAAATTTTTAAATTGGTTTTCCCTAGGTTCCAGTATCAGAGAGTTCAGAGTTAACTACATTAAGTATTCATTGAAAAAGCACCCTTTCAGAAACAATACAGTTTAAAAACTGATTTTCCACAATTAAACTCTACTTTTGTTTATATACTTTGTAAACAGTTTGAAAGCACTTTTAGTTAATTCCAATATATCATCAAGTTGAGTTTTTTACTTAGACACTCAAGAGAATCAGAATGACCCACAAGCTGGACAAGAATGTTTTGATATGAATAATGCAATGTAAACAGTGGCAGTTGTCCAAATTTAAGAAGACAAATGTATAAAATTAAAAGTCAAAGACCCTATTATCAGGACTTTTTAGAATTAAAAGAGATAAGCAATCAAAATATTTAAAACTAAAAACACAACTTTTGAAAAAGGATTTAAGTGAGCTATATTTTGAGATTAGATACACATTTTTTTTTTAAAATTATCACTGGGAAAGCCAAAGTGCTTTCTCAACTTATTAAGTAAAAAATTAATCTACAAAATTATTTATAATATAAGATTTGATTCAAATTACCAATTGTAGCATTCTTCAAAATCAGTTACCTATATGAATATAAAACATACTAAATGCACAAGTTTGGAAAATGTGTTACTATGGAAACAAGAATCTATAAATTCTGATATGTAAGTTGAATAAATTTTCTTCATGAAAGTAACATAATCTGATTCTCAATCTAATACCATATTTGTTAAAAACAGGGAATGTTAGGAATATTCTGTGAAGATATGAGTAACTTGTAAGCACCAAATAAATTTCTGGTTTTTGAAAAGAAATAAAATAAGACTAAGCATTGAATTCGTTTTTTTAAATTATTGTTTGTGAAATCTTATGCATCTTTAGCCACAGTCACTTATACACAGGATAAACAGCAATATCTGGGCCTTAGCATTTTTTGCTACCATTACTGCTTACAGAAACCTCAGATTTTGTTTCTTAGAAATAATTTGAATATAATGTGGAAACACTGTCTCACAAAGAGATAAGCAAAGCAAAGAAATACGCTTCCAACAAAAAGAATCAAAGCTACTCTATGATCCAAAGAAAGCTTGATTCACCAAATGTTATATAACCAATAATCAGTGACTGAACCTAGATTATCCAATTTTAAGTCCAATACTTTCATAATTTTCCAGAGAGAGAGCTAGCTACCTAGTAGGGTGGGGTTTACAGAGTTCTAACACTGACTCTAATGGTTAATTTATCTAGACTTTTTCAAGTCAACAAATTTCTCTGTACCTTATTTTCTCCTATTTCATGGGGGATATTCTGACAATAAACCTAACCAAATACTTAACTCTGGCAGAAAAATATCTATATTTTCATTATACTAATAAATTTCTTTGTTCCAAATACAAATTTCAACTTATACCACCATGCTTTCTATGATTTTAGTTTTAAGCTTAAAATAATATTTTGTGATTATCAGCTATTTCTTAATGTGGCTGGCATTGTAGAAAGATCCTTTCCCCCAACTTTCAAAATGCATAAACAGTAATATAACATTTTCATTTTTATTATTACCAAAGCCTTGTCACCCAAAGCTTTGGGTGGGGAAAATTTTAGAAACTCACAACAAAAATTTTCACATTCTCAATTTCTGTAGAAATGCAAAGTAAAATTCATATGCTCATCAGCTATTCCCTTTTAAAAAACACAGTCTGAACAATTATAAAAATGTACATTGCTTTTCAAAACTGTAAGAGCATAACTCTGATGACAAATTAAAAACTTAGGATAAAATATTTTGAAAGGTGAAGATCACTAATATTCCTAAAATAAAGGAAATAGGTAACAATTAATATTCTAATAACTCAACCATTGGCAATGCCTTCAATTTTATCAATATAGAATCCAGCCTCTATATAAACTCAAGTCTAAAAGAATACTTATCCTCCTCATGACTGAGAATAAAAATGTATTCTAAATTTAATAAAAATTTAATTTTAGTATTTTGGTTCAATACTCATACCACTGTTTTATTATTTTGAAAGCATATCTAAAAATAATTTAGTTTTATAATTTATGAGGACATGTAGCTTCCTTCTTCCTTTGCCCATATATTTACCAACATTAACATATAGCTACATAAAATATTTACAAAACTGCAATCCACTAATAAATGTACCCCCATCAAAAAATAGAAACTAGCCAACTGAAATAAAATATTAATAACAAATGATCAGTATATATCTACTAAGTAAAAGAGTTATGAAAGGTGAAAGTAAATGACTCAAGTTTTAACCACTAAAACTGTGCTATTAGCAATGGAATATTTTTTAAAAAAAATCTTAGGGGAAAATCACCCTAGATCAACCCAATTAATATTTTGAATGAATGAAAAGAAGAAACAGCTGAATGAATACTGAAATTGTGACAACATTTAACACTTTGACATGTTCACAACAATTTGGAATATATAGAAATGACTTAAATACAAACTAGTTGAAATTCAATGGGGTTCAGTGTAGAGATGCAGTGGGTTTCTATTTGTAGAACAAAGAACCTCAACCAAAAACATATATAACTACTAAAATATTCACAAGTACAATTATCAAGGCTTTAAAAAGAATATAATATTTTTTACTATGTAAATCTCCCCCCTACCCACCCACCCACGCCTCCCTGCATTTTCTAATGTTTGGCATAAGTGACCAACAAACCAGAATAGAATACAGATTTTTAAAAGACTAATTTACTCATGTTCTATTTAAGAACAACATGCAATCACTTATAAATTCAGTCTTTTTAAAAAGCATCCTTACATAAAACAGTGGGGGGGAAATCCCGGCTATATATATGAAGCACAGTTTAAGCTCGATACAACTGACCAATCAAAATTAGTGAATGCACTGCATCTCTCTGCAGTGAAGAGAAGCGACAAGGTAGGCTGTCATTCTGCAAAAGCTGCTCAGAACAGGCTTTCCTCTGAAAAGCAGTGCAGTTCCTTTTTATAAAGACTGAATCTAAACGTTGTCTCTGGAGACAAGAAGCCTTCAGTATGTTAAATGACTTTATTATGTATTTTCAGATGCTTATTGATTCCACAGTAGGAAGAGTGAGAGACTGCAGCAGCCTCTAAGCAGCCTTACACGTTCCATACATTAGCAGTACTGCTGAAACAATGGCACAGTACAGACACATATTTTCATTAAGGTCATTTCTGAAGAGGTGTTTATAATCCTCTTCCCCCAGTTCTCTACAAACAAGTGAACAAAATGAATCAATCAAAACTGGAAATGCTTCAACTACATCAAGAATTTATCAAATCCTTAGCAAAGGTAAGATGTGTTCCTTCTTACAATATACAGCTGCTTTTGAAATTGGCATAGTGGGGTAAAATTGCTTTGAAAATTTTCAGTCTAAATTTAAAGTTTATGTGTTTATTTCTTCTCAATGCTAGATTTGTAATTTTTAGATCTATTTCATTTAAGACATGATATATTTTAAATGCAATTTTTAGGATGTACTGTTAAATTGAAGAATAGTCTTGTTAATTACCTACAAAGACATCAGCTTTTAAATCACCTCAGACATACTAAATATTCTTAATGTGATCAATACAGTTTTTCTTAGGTGTCCAAAAACTGCTTATATTTCTTATAAGAACCATTTAGTTGTTATTTTTTATTCGATTTTATGTTAACATTATTATTGGGCATGGACATTGAAAATTATTTAATTTGCAGTTACATTTTGGTATTGCCTTTTATATTTCAACCACATGAGTAATTTATCAATGGAAATTTATACTATCTTATCATGGAATCTATCTTAATGAGTTATAATCTACACCATGTGCTAATAATTAAGCAAGCTACCTTTTTACAGCTGTATATGTTAAATTTATTATAAAGACAAGGGAATGGCAGTATGTTTAGAGTATACAACTGTTTATAATCTGAAAATACTGGTTAACGTCTAAGAAGAGAGCAGAAATACTTTTAAAATACAGCCTTTCTCTCATGGTTATATTTATAATGCTTAACTCTACTATTAAGTAATACAATTTCTGCCAGGACAAGGGAGTATTTTATTTCAAGAAACTTAATTTTATGCATATAGCTATGGCTCTAGCAATACAGTTTCCTTACTTAGAGAACAAATACTATATGGCTTTAAATTAAAAAAAAAAAAACTGAAGTAACTTTCAAGTAATTAGAAATTGTTAAGAACCCTATTTCTTAACCATTTGTTTTCTTTTTCACAAGGACCCATAGCAGCTAATTCAGTATTTACAACCATCAATGTGAAGATTGCAACTGACTGAGAATCTCCCTAGCTCTCTGAACCACAAACTACAAGATATTTCTCCTAAGAAATTAAGGAGTTAAAATCAGGGAATAGCTCTATATTACTGCTGGAATATAACAAATCAACAGTATCCTAAGAAGATGCTACAAATAATAACTACAAAAGGAAACACAATATGATTACAAAAGCCTGGGGTGAAAAATGGTGAGCATTTTTAAAGGGGAAGTTTAACACACCAGAATCGTGGAAGCTATGGATTCCTGAAGAAACTATGAAATATGAGTCTCAAAAAAGAGAATGACTAATTTCACCAACAAGCAAAATGAACCTTATGTTTTCTACACTATTCAGCTATTCGTATCAATTGATGTGACTAATGGATTTTTCCATCTGAGCTTTATGACCAATTATGTATCCTCTTCTAATGAAAACAAACCAAATTAAATAGCACATGGTTTTCATCAAAACAACGTGGACTGGATTTTAATATAAAGAAATTATGTGATCAAGAAGTAATTTCAAAACCATGAGGACTGGTGTACAAAAAGATTTACAAATGTAACAAAAGGATGTCTAAATACATTTTAGAAGCTAGAAAACTTACATTTCCTTTTTTGTTTTCACATATTCTGGAAAATAAAGGGACACTATCATATATTCCCTCAAAGGGAAATTTCTATCTTTTGAGGAAGTTTCTCTTGGTGGTGACTTTTTAAGGCAAAACAAACACAAATATTATGTACTGTTCTTTAGAAATCCATCAGCTAACTAAATTTCATAATTTATGCAGTTGAAGTACTGGAGAGAAAATGAAAGAATTCCTACAAGACATGAAATAAAACACAGCTACTTCACTGCTGTCAGGTAAAAATTCATGTCAAAATCTGTCAATGATATCATGTATCAATTTGTGAAAATTTGCCATAGTGAACCAAAAGGCCCATAAGGCAACAGCAAACAGGTAGGTCAGAAAATGCATGCACCCCACCACACTGGTTAACATTTACAAAAGAAATTAGATAATTTTTCTTAATTATCATCAAACTTAACATTTCTGTTTTATTTAATTGTAAACATAACTGATGTGACAAAGACCTGATGTTTAATCTGTCAGTTCAAAAAACTTGGCACACTTAGAATTTTCCATTTTCATAAGATTTCAGTGTTAGCGAAGATCTTCATTTACGTGAATATGCTTCTATTAATACTTATACCACTCAAAAGAAATTAATATTATCATTTGTTTCTGGAACATTATCCCAAAATAACATGCAGAAATAAAACTATATTCTAAAACTTGTCAAAGTAAACCAAGTAAAAGGGTAACATAAATTCTTGAAAATAACTTTTATAATTTTATGTTTGAAATGTATTTTGCAGTCAAAATGATGTATCTGAAATGTTATAGGTGGTTTTATGATATCCAATTTTAACTTGAATATGTTGATTAGACATTTCAGCCTAGAAAATCAGGTATTATTTTTATAAATTACTCTAAACCCCTATGTATTAAAATATAGATTTGCATGAATTTTAGCAAAAGAACTTGTTTATTTTCAAAATTTTCTTCAAAATTAAACACTGGGTGATACATAAAAAAGGTTTCAGAGGTAATGTGCAACTTTAAAAGCTTCCTCAAAAAATGGGTTTTACATACTCCTTTTCCTTAGAATTTAATTTTTTACTTTAAAAGCTGTTTAAACAAATAAACTCAACTAATATATTCTTTTAAACCACTTCAAAAATGGCTATTTCTTAATATGTATTAAATTTCAATTTTCTCTTTCTATAAGATACAAGAGGGTGTGGTCACAAAATAAATCATTCATAGGAATGATTAGTACTCTTTTATCAAGCTTTGTGGCTTTTTGCTTTGGCTAATGTCCCTTGTCTTCTAATTTTTTAAGTTTGCACACTGAAAAAATTCAGTGAGCATATTCACCGTGATATGTGAAATACTTGCCACTTGCCTATTTTTGTGGTAAATAACTCCGAATATCCCCTAGCACACTGTTAACTTTTGACTATCAAAAGCAATAGATACGACAGTTTGAAACAAATCAGTGCTCTGTACCATATGTCCTTTTAAATGAACACTTTCCCTGTTCGTTTAAAATCTCACAGGAATGATTACACCAACACTAATCATGCTAGAGCATATTAAAATAGCATATATTTTCTATCTACTCAAAACATTTTAAAATGAAATTTTAAAATAGGCTAAACTTAGTTTTGCATACTGGATAGTTTAATATACAAAAATATGCCTTCTCTCAAGAATAAATGTCTCATTTATTTCCAAAGGAGGAAAACCCTTTTAGTATATTAAGTAATTTTGCAATATAGGGGAACAATCCCCATAAAGTATTCCTCTGAAAGGAGAATGCAATTTCCTTTTATAACAAAGCAATGCAGTCTTGATGGTTTCTTAATTGTACATTTTCCATTAATAGCATACAAACATGAAAATTAAACTAAATACACAATAAAGGTTTTTTGATTACAAAGAATACATGTTTTATACGTCATTTAAGTTGCCAAATATCAAAAAGTTTATTTTATTTCACTTTCTAGGGAAAAAGCCAACTGCTCCAAAAGAATGTGTTTTTCTCCCATTCTGGAAATCAACATGCAGTCTGAATCTAACATTACAGTGCGAGATGACATTGATGACATCAATACCAATATGTACCAAGCATTATCATATCCACTAAGCTTTCAAGTGTCTCTCACAGGATTTCTTATGTTAGAAATTGTGCTGGGACTTGGCAGCAACCTCACCGTATTGGTACTTTACTGCATGAAATCCAACTTAATCAACTCTGTCAGTAACATTATTACAATGAATCTTCATGTACTTGATGTAATAATTTGTGTGGGATGTATTCCTCTAACTATAGTTATCCTTCTGCTTTCACTGGAGAGTAACACAGCTCTCATCTGCTGTTTCCATGAGGCTTGTGTTTCTTTTGCAAGTGTCTCAACAGCAATCAACGTTTTTGCTATCACCTTGGACAGATATGACATCTCTGTAAAACCTGCAAACCGAATTCTGACGATGGGCAGAGCTGTAATGTTAATGATATCCATTTGGATTTTTTCTTTTTTCTCATTCTTAATTCCCTTTATGGAAGTAAATTTTTTCAGTCTTCAAAGTGGAAATACGTGGGAAAACAAGACACTTTTGTGTGTCAGTACAAATGAATACTACACTGAACTTGGAATGTATTATCACCTTCTAGTACAGATCCCAATATTCTTTTTCACAGTTATAGTAATGTTAATCACATATACCAAGATACTTCAGGCTCTTAATATTCGAATAGGCACAAGATTTTCAACAGGGCAGAAGAAGAAAGCAAGAAAGAAAAAGACGATTTCTCTAACAACACAACATGAGACAACAGACATGTCACAAAGCAGTGGTGGGAGAAATGTAGTCTTTGGTGTAAGAACTTCAGTTTCTGTAATAATTGCCCTCCGGCGAGCTGTGAAACGACACCGTGAACGGCGAGAAAGGCAGAAAAGAGTCTTCAGAATGTCACTACTGATTATTTCTACATTTCTTCTCTGTTGGACACCAATTTCTGTTTTAAATACCACTATTTTATGTTTAGGCCCAAGTGACCTTTTAGTAAAATTAAGATTGTGTTTTCTAGTCATGGCTTATGGAACTACTATATTTCATCCTCTACTATATGCATTCACTAGACAAAAATTTCAAAAAGTCTTGAAAAGCAAAATGAAAAAAAGAGTTGTTTCCATTGTGGAAGCTGATCCCATGCCTAATAATGCTGTAATACACAACTCTTGGATAGATCCTAAAAGAAATAGAAAGATTACATATGAAGATAGTGAAATAAGAGAGAAATGCTTAGTACCTCAGGTTGTCACAGACTAGGGAAAAGTCTAATAATTTTCACCAAATCCACATTCAGAGGAGTTTTAGATTTGAATTGTAAAAAAAAAAAAAAAAAAAGATCTTACTGCCAAATATAAGAAAAACCATTTTAAGTAACGGTTATGTTGTAAATTTTCAATGTGAATGTCAATTAGATTAGCTCATATATAATCAATTTCTTCATTACTTAATGTATTTGTTGCATGGCAGTTTGTTAAAGTAAATATCATGTGTATATTTTGTCAATATTATGTCCATCAGAAGATATTCATGTAAGTCATATTTTCTAAAGAATAAATACATAGCCTTAAAACAGTGTATAACTTTAAAAAGTAACTGACACAGGTATTTGCTTTTTAAAAAAAATATATGAAGTGTATTGTTTCTAAGCCACAAACTATGAAGATATATTTATATGATGACAACTGGAATAGCATTTAACATAAAAACAAAAATTATAGGCTCAAAACAATTCAAGATTTTCTATACGACTAGGTTATGTTTCCTGATAGAGTATATTTGCTATAATGTTTGATGCATCCAAAATAATGAAGTGTGGTTAAAACTTCATTCTTTCTTTTGAATGTAGAAAATCATAGGATTTATTAGTATTTTAAAATTTATACACCAAAAACCAAACATCCCCATATATGCACACCAACATATGGAAATTTTAAAATTCAAGTTTACTATTAAAAAGAAAAAACTGATTTCCTAGATCAAGGATACTATGCCTATAAAGTACAAATGAACTGACAACAAAGGGAAGGAAGAAAAAGCTACAAAGCTTCCTTTTTCACTTTGCTTGATTCTAAGCCAAATGTTCTAGGTAAACACAGAATACTGGTGAAAAACAGTGCATTAAAATAAAGTTACTTTTGAACTTTATTCAACTCAATTCTGTTTGCATAACAAGTTAATTATACAAATCTAACTATTAGGAAGAGAAAAAAAGACTTTTATATCATTGTAGGAAAGCCTAACAAAGCCACCTGTTTCTAATTTTAGATACATAGCAACTTTAGAGCAATACAAATTTACACAATGTTCTTAAGCAATCATAGCTCCTAGTTCTTCAAAATACCATTGTTTCCACAATGAAAATCATTAAGGAACAACAAATCTCACTTTTTCTACTCCATCACACATAATTTAACTTTATGAATTTTTCTCTCCAATCCTAAATTCATGTAAGGAAGATATGAAATTACCAATTCTAACTACAGATGATAAGGATTGGAAATTTCATATCAAACATATTTTCCAACTGGTGTAATGTAATAATCTGGCAATGAGAACTAATATCACTATGAGAAAGTTAGCAATAGGTTATATAAAATAGGCAAGTACCTGCTATGTTGTAATTGTTTAGCTAAACAATGGTTATTCTATTTTTTAACACTGTATCCACTAAATCAAGTAATAGTTCATTTTTACATTTAAAAATGTAGATTCAATAATATATCACTTTTATATAAATAAATGGGGTTCATTCAATCTAGTTTACTAAATACCCTAATCCCTGGAAAATGAGAACCATGCAATAGTTTGAATTCACTGAGATTACTAGCAAATTAAATAGCAATTTATTTCTGATAATAATGCTAACATAATGTCAAATCTTGGCAAAGGCCCAGTTTCCTTCTGCTGTATTTTCTACCGTTTTATGGAATTAGAGAAATGCTTAAATTTGATGAAATGTAGCATAAGCAAGTAATACTTATTTTTTGAAACCCTGAAGAGAAACTAACATCGTGGACACAAGTATTAAGGAAAGCTTTATTAAATAAATATATTTGCCACAATATCTCCTGATATCTTCATTTGTAAATGTAAAATGCATTTTATACTTAAACTTCCAAGTATAAATTAAACTTTTAATATTTAGTTTTATACTTTTAATAAAAATTAAAACTATATTTAAAGTCTTCATGTTAAGAAATCTTAACTCCTTTGTGTTTTAAATACTCTTAATCTTCATGTTTATAAGCATGCCAAAAAAAAAGTATAAAAACAGATTTCTAATATATTAGCCTAATAGCTTTCATGCATTCTCATCTTCTGTAATAACAAAATAAAAAATAAATGACACTGTTATAGCTTTGCCCTAAAAGCTACTATTTCTGCACTTGACACTGGAATAAAAACAGTTCACAAGCATTTTACCCACCTATAGAGATGTTTCAAATATACAAAGTGCACCCACTGATTTACAACAAAGAAAAGTCATACCTATCAGACAACTGCTAATAGCTTTTTAACGTAATAAAAGAGTCGATAATATGTGAATGTAGATAATACTTCTGTGTCAAAAATTCAGCTTTCAAAAACAAGTCACAAATGTTTTCAAATATAGAGATAAATGAGAAAATAAGCTTAGACAACTTTTATTTTTTATTAAGTGTTTATTCTATGAAAAGATGAAACTTCACTTTCTTCAGGATGGCCACTGTCCCAGTATGTAAAAATTTCACCTTATTACTAATAATTTTACCCCAAAACAAAGCATTTTTTTGTTTTGCTAACTTTTTCCTGTTAGAATATAAGTTCTAAAAGCAAATGCAATATAGACAACAGTAAACTTGATACACTTCTTAAAACTAATTTTATATCCATGTGCTATAAATCAGAAACACAGATATGAATTTCCATATGCAAATTGAGTCAATTTTTCAAAAGGATAAGAATTAGAATTCTTTCTTTAAAAACTAACCTGAGTTCCAAGAGGTACGGAAAATTTCACTGCCTTCTTTTTTCTGTTTGCTCATTTAAGGAGGTTATTATTCTACCAACTACTACCTAGAAATGATGTTCAAACTTATTATGATAATTAAATTATTTACAATTATGCTTTTTAAAAAAAAATGCCATTCACAATAATTCTGGTTTTGCAACCATGGTAAGTCAATTTTTTACACATGTGGTCTGTTTTTTCATTCCCTAAATATTATAGCAAAATCTCACTTCTCTAGGCATTAAAAATCAGATACCTCATTTAAATGCTGTTAGACTTAAGGATGAAAATCTAAAATTATAAGTAATAGACCCTTTATAAGGTAAGGCTTTATTTAACTACAATAATTTCAAGACTATTTTCCAAAGTCAATAATATTTTTATTTTATTACATTTTATAATTATAAATTTAAGCATTGTAATCCAACTAACCTTTGAATTCTTACATATAGAAGGCAGTATTATGACAGAATATTGGATTACAGAAATAGAGTTATTACCCTCAAAAGCTTGAAATCTATAATCAAAGTTCAGGTCAAGTATCCCTTACCTGAAATGCAAACTTCAGATTTTTCTCAGATTTGAAATATTTGTATATGCATAAGACATATCTTGTGGGAGGAACCCAAGCCTAAATACAAAATTCATTTATATTGCATATAAATTTTACACACATAGCCTTAAGATAATTTTACACAATACTTTCGGTGCACTTGCATTTCAACTAAAATCCATCACATGAGAGCAAGTAGCAGAATTTTTCCCTTGAAGTGTCATGTTTATGGTCAACAAGCTTTGCATTTTGGAGCATTTTGGAATTTTAGGTTGGGGACGCTCAAAGCCATATTATAAAGTATAAAAACACCTGAAAGAAAAAACAGAATGTGGTAAATGCTATAAAAAGAATATTCAATTTCTTAATAAGAAGAGGATTGTACTGAATTTAAGAAAAATATAAACAAAAGTATTGTTGAGAAAAACTACTAAAGAATATTTTGGTAAAAGCAAAATGTTGTTTGGAAGGAAAGGAAAGCAGAAGTGAGAAGTTATCTAAAAAGTTAACTTGGGGCCATAAGATAGAAGGCCCAAAATGCCAGCAGAGATATCTGAACAGGAGATATAACAAAATGAGAATGAGCTTCCAAAAGAACTCGAACACAATATGTAGAGACAGCTGATTATGTAAGACACAGAAGACAGAAAGTTACTGCCATCACCTGGATATGTAGGCCAAAAAATGATGACAATAGCCAGACCTTGTGGCATACATCTGTAATCCTAGCAACTCTGGAGGCTGAGAGGAGGACTGCAGTCTCAGCAACTTAGTGAGATCCTATTTCAAAATAAAAAATAAAAGGGCTGGGAACATGGTTCAGTGGTAAAGCACTCCTGGTTTAAATCTCTAGTACTAAAAAAAAGAAAAAGAAAAACTAATGATGGCAAACTGGCAAACAAGTGTACAGTTGTGTGAGAGGCAAATGAAGACAGAATCAACAAGGTGTGCCAACTGACTAGAAAGCCAAGTGGTATAAGAAACTAAAAATAGTAGCCACAAGGAAGATCATAAGAAACTAGGTTATCCTCAATGATGGAAGAACTATTTAATTATGCTTTGCATAAAGTACATAACAGGGAAAAAAAAAAGAAGAAGAAAATTTAATAAAGAAGCTCCGAAGAAAACTTAAAAGAAGAAAAATATAATAAAGTAAAACAAATAATATTGTTAAAGAATGTTCTTAGTTACTAGATTTCATTTCAAAATGAAATTTTCAAATGAATATTTTAAGTTGTATACTTAACATTGTGCAATTGGTTTATTCCATTTTCCCATTAAACATATCTTTTTCAGTAATTTTAATTTTAAAGAAATTATAAGCAGTAAAAATATGCCAACATATACACAGGTAAAAATACAAATATTATCCTTTGTATTCCCCCCTAATAATTAATTATGAACATCCACTTACTTTATTATAAACATATCTTCCAAATTCTTTGTTAAAGGCGAGAAAAAGATAATTTCTAAATTTAAAAAGTTTAAATACATCAATATATCTAAAAGATAGTAATGCAACCTGTTTATATTATAATCAGTGGCTTCAAACTATACTTCAAGATTCCTTGGAAAATATAAGGAAGGTTTATATTTCTTGGCAAATAAAGCAAGTCATTTTTTTGGACGGAGGCAAAAAAGCAAGAAAAAGGCATAAAATACTGTGTTCCTTTCCTCCAAATAAAATGAGAAATACGGTAATTTTTGGAGACTATTTTCTTTACATTTTAGAGATGGGCACTTCTTTGTACTCTTTGTACATTCTTTGAAAGCAAGTCCCCTCAAGAAGCACATGAACTTCAAGGAAGTTAAAGATGAATTGACTTGTGTAAATATTAGGGAGAAAAAAGGGATCACAGACAGAATCATATAAGAGAAAATTCAGGAGATAATAAAAACCAGATAAAACTGAAAAAGATGTAAAAATAGGTGTTCAGCTACTAGAAAAATACAAATAGAACACAGAATCATAGGTTAGTCTTCAAATTAAGTTTTCTTCTGAGCTTTTTCTTATTTTTTTTTGTTAA